AAATGATTCTAAATTCGCATCAATTTATTATTGGGTAAATATTGTTTTATTTTTGTATAAATATTTTAATTTATATTTAATTATTTAATTTCATACTTTGGTCAATTTTTTCCTATACAATTTTTCACCATTAGTTTACTTTTTATTTGTTATTTTTTTTTAATGAACACTGATACTTTATGAACTTAAACTTTAATGAACAATGATACTAAATTCGCATGAATTAATTTTCCTGTAATATTGTTATATTTTCTCCAAGATATTTTAAAATAAAATTTAATTGTTTATACATTAGTAAATTAGAAAATAAAAAACTCACCTTCTGCTTAGACGGCAGCGTGATTTTACTCGTCGACGGTCGTTCAATCGTGGCGACGAATTAACTATCATAAATATAATAATGAAGTTTCTTCTATCTTTCACAATGGATTCCATAAAATCGAATTATCATCGCCAAATCACCATAGTTATATATATATATTCACCATTAAACTAGTTTTGATCGTTATAACAAAACACACTCTTATCAAACTTTATAATTAAACAAATAATAATAAAAACAGTTCACAAGATCAAAAGTTTTCAATTTCTTGTTTTTTTTTTTTTTTTCCAAGAAACTGTCACTGGAAACTGTCAATTTCATTCAATTCAATGAGATGAAATAAGTGAATAATTGTTGTTGTCTTTCTTTAACAATCTGTCGTCACAAAATCAACTGACGTGTTAAAAAAAAAAAAACGAATCCACGTGGTGTTGATGATGATGATGATGATGAATGTTATCATCAAATCGCGAGTATCATTAACCAAACTTTTCGCGCCGAAAAAATACGAATGAGGTTGTGATGTTCTTTTTCAGAAGTTTTGAAGAACAGGAAGAAAAACGGAAGCTGACTGTGAGGAACGTGCAACAGCAACAGGTGTGATAACACGTAAGAAAATCTCAGAGAAATAGTCTCACAGAAAGAGAGAGAGAGAGAGAGAAAGAGAGAAAAAGTCAAGTTGTTAAAAAAGAAAATAGATATATGTTATATCAATACACATGTATATATATACATATACATATATATATGACGTTATTCATAGATAAGAAAAAAGGAAGAGAAGATGAGAAGAAAATATGTGAAAAAGATTTGTAGGTGGAAGATCAACGCACGAGAAGAATAAGAAAAAGAAGAAGAAGAAGAAGAAGAAATAAAAAGGGAAAGAGAAGAAAATAAAAATAAAAGAAGGATAAGAATAAGAAGAAGAAGAAGAAGAAGAAGGACACTTGGGTCGAATGATGGTGTAACACCGCGCGTAGTAGCGGACAGTCGGCGACTAAGGCCCCGAGGAGAGTCACCTCTCTCTCCTTCGTCTCTTCTCTCGTGTCCTCTCTTCCGAAGTTGCTTTGCTCTTCGTCCCTCTCTCTCTCTCACTCTCCCTTACTCTTTCTCTCTCTGTGATCGCACGAAGCAAGCACAGCACACGCGTGCGTGCGCGAATGCGTGAGTGCACCTCCTCTGCACGTACACCTCGTGTTGCTCTCCCCCTCCCTCTCTCTTCTACCCCCTCCAACCACCCTCAAAGAGACGCGTCGGCAGCTCCCTCTTTCTCTTTTTCATTCAACGATGTATTTTCTTTCTTTCTTTCTCTTTCTTTCTGCTGTTGCTGCTGCTGCTGCTGCAACCGGCCGCCACCGCACTCGTCACACGCACCTATTTACACTAACACACACACATACATGAATATACACATTTACTATTGGACGAAGGGAACGCGCGTGGATATTGGTCGATACCGTCCTTTTTCCCTTTGAGGATAGTATTCGTGGCGAGAACGAGTAGCATGAGAGAGAGAAAGAGAGTGCACGCGCGCGCACACACATTCGAACCATGGCTTAGCAAGGTAGGAGGAGTGGGAGGTGGGACACGCGACACGAGGCCCCATGGGAGGGGGTGAACGCGTTCCTAAGAGAGGGGATGACCTCCCCTCGTTTCTCTCTCACAATTTCTCTATCTTTCTCACTCCTTATTTCAGAGTCCTCTACCTTCCCGATTAATCCCACCTTGTTCTGAAGTCGTTACGCGGGAAATTCGCTGTCAGTTAGAAAAAAGTTAGTATTGCTTGATTTTAATTATAAATCTTTTTCTCTTTTTCTATAAATAATATTTCATTCGTTATAGAAAAATAAGAAACATAGGTAGCCCATCAGCTGGTGTATCATCCTCAACGATGAGAGTGAGCTACCTCAGTTACCACTTTTCAGACTACTATGAAAAGAAGAATACGAATGAAATTATTAATTGACATTAAGAACTCGAAAGTTCATTGCCATAAATACCTGAGATTAACCCATCCATTAGCAATCTTCCTTAAGATCCCGAAATAATATTGTCCTCCCATCTACTCAGTGGTCTTTCCCCGTTCAATACACCGATTAGTATTTTATGCACCGTTCGATCCACCCCCGTGCAAGCCACGTGACCTGCCCATCTTAATCGGCGCAATTTTACGACATTAATGATGTCCAGTTTTGTTGTACAGTCGGTGTACTTCAACTATGGGGTTGTCTCCATTCGCCCGTTTCCTCATCGCGTTTTGCACCCGAAGATTTTACGAACAACTTTATTTTCGAAAACTTCATTAATTAATCGGGCCCGTCCGATAGAGTGAAAAGCTTTAAGTGCAGCCGCCTAGTGGTGAGAAACATGAATTAGAGCGTTGGCGGGAACGTGTTAAACATATTTTCTTATTTTATTTATATTTTATCTATTCAAATGCATTATAAATCACACAGTAATGTCACAAGCTATTGCCCAAAAGTTTCTAACATAAAACAATCATGATAACACAGGAATATTTCGAATTGAACATGTTGAAAGATTCTAACCTATAATTCGCAAAGTTTTGCTACCATAAAGGACTACCGGTAGGATGATTGTTCAGCTGACTGAATAAAAGCATGCATTGCCTGAATTGATTGTTTTTTGTTAACGAAAAAAATGAGAGTGTAAATAAGCCACGTTTTGAAGTACCATCATGACTCACTTAACATTTTCAATAATTTCAGTTTAGTACAATAAAAACATTAGGGGGTTGGGGAATGTTTGAAGTCAAAATCGATGCTCACATTTTCAAAAGTTGAGATAGGGGTTGATCATTCTTACCCGCATGATATATATCGTAATAATAATTGTTGTTGACAACAACAACAAAATAAAAAAAGAAGAGAAAGAAAATATTATAACACGTGAAAGTAAATTTTATGCGTGCTCGTCCGTTCACGCATGTCACCGGTAGAAAACTACGCGTGCGTTCAGCAACAAGCTGAACTACGTCGCAAAATTCAACCCCCTTGTACAGTAAAGGAATGAAACAAGCGAGAGAGAGAGAGAGAGAGAGAGAGAGAGAGAGAGAAATAGAAAGAGGGTGAGAGTTGTTCTTTCCTCCCTCCTGGTTCCCACGCCGTGATTTTTCTACCTCCTCCTCCTCCTCAACGAACCCGCTGCTCTCTCCATGTTGAACACTCCTCCTCCCTTTCGAAAGCAACAACCCCCTTTTTTCGATGGAAGAGAAACGGTAACATCCCTCTTCTTTCTTTCTTTCTTTTTTTTTTTCATTCTTTTCTTTTCTTTTTCTACGTCGTAACTTGTCACGTACCCCCTCACCCCCAGGGGTGAGAGAATTACCAGAGGGGAAGTTTAGAAATTTATTTTTCTTAACGTTTGTTTGTGTGTTTCTTTTATTTTTCGATAACTATAAATAAATAAAATGATTTTTATTAATTATCTTAACTTATAAATAATTATGAAATGACGTAGGTAATTATTAAATATTTAATTTACGATTATTGTTATTAATTTTCAATTTTTCTTTTTTTTTTCATTGATAATTAAAACATTGATATTTTGTTGAAATATTACATATATGTAAATGTCTCCATATATATTCACATATATTTGTTATTTAATCCAATACAGTATAATAATATATACATACATATAATAAACCACAAAATAACATGAAAAAAGAAAAGGGTTAAGTTCACTTTCGAACGTACGAATAATCTTTCGTTTCCACTCTTTGCCCTTCCACCATTCTTCCCACTACTCTACGGAGATCACGTTTTGTAATATTAAACGAATCTCTTTTCTTTCTTTTTTTTTTTCTACTTGTTCTTTTTTTCTTGAGTGAAACGAGTTATCGGTGTAACGTTAGGAGGATTAATTTGCATGAACGATTGGTAAGATCATCGAACACACGACTCGTGGAATCCAAAATACATTTTCTTTCTCTCCTGAAAAATTGATTGAATGAAATAAGAAAAAAAAGTGGATCAATTTTTATATGTGCAAGATAGAAAGAGTAAGAAAAAAAATTATATATATATATATTGAACTGATCGAAGTTGGGCGTGAGCGCGCTGTCAAGCTCGAACGAGCACCGATGTTTTAATTAATGTATCGATAGTGCCCAGGTAAGCAATATATTGAGAGCTTCGTACCTGCCGATATATCGAAAGCCCATTCGCCGAACCCACGCACGAGTCCTTCGATAATAATTAGGAAGACCGTATAAAGGAGACTGTCTCTTTTACAAAATAAAACCAACAAAACAAAAATACGATGAGAAGATTTGCAACAAAACTAAAAAATGAATCATAATAAAAAAAAAATTAAAAAAATATCATCTCTTATATCTTCACAATTACTCATTCACATCTTCACATTTCCCCATAGGAAATTGCAATTAATTATAACTAAATATAATATGTTAATCATTGGTATATTACAGGTGGTAATTGATTCGAGAATACGTCAGGAGTATCTTCTTTCTTACTTTCATTCATTCATTCATTCATTCATGTATTCATTCATTCCTTCCTTTATCCTCGTTCAACCATGTGCATGGGATGTTTATAGTTATTTTTTGTTTGTTTGTAGAAAAAACAACAGATTCGATTTCTTCAAATACACACGTAAGAGACTTTTATTTTTGTGGATCCACCACCACCATCACCATCACCAGCACCATCACTACTACTAACACAATATCGTTATCCTCGTTGTGTCGTAGTCGTTGTCGTCCAGCAACCTGTTCGATTACCATATATCGTGGAAGGAAAGGCGACAATGGTGGTGGCATGGTAGTGGTGTGCATGAGACTACTTTCGCAGATCGCCATTCCGTGATTATACGTCACACGACTTACATATAATCGGCGAGAGGTGCGAACCGGTTTGATATCGGTTCGAGTGTTTCCTCCTTTTTTTTTTTTATTTATTTTTATGTCACGGTTAGTCCGGCACAATTCTTGCATTAAATGACGGATGATCTTCGTTGTGAGACGAACGTCTTTCTTACAAAAGTCATTCCCTTTTCCGATTATAATTTCGAGACCTGTCAAATAATATACATATATGTATCTATATATATATATATATATATATATATATATATATATATATATAGTGTCTAATCTCAAGTTTCCAAAGGTATTGGGTTGTTCTCAAAGTAATTTTGTTTTTTATTGGCACAATAAAAGTTATGTCAAAAATAGTTGATGNTTTTTTATTTATTTTTATGTCACGGTTAGTCCGGCACAATTCTTGCATTAAATGACGGATGATCTTCGTTGTGAGACGAACGTCTTTCTTACAAACGTAATTAGTTCGTACTATTTATTTATTTCTCTCTTTCTCTTCTTCTTTCACTTTCTTTCTCTCTTTATCTGTATATATATATATATAAAAATGTAAATTTCATTTGTGTCTAATCTCAAGTTTCCAAAGGTATTGGGTTGTTCTCAAAGTAATTTTGTTTTTTATTGGCACAATAAAAGTTATGTCAAAAATAGTTGATGCAAATCGGTAAATTACAACACGTGAGATCTGTGAGTGGTTAAATTTATCAAATTCAACGTTTTATGTTCACTTGAAGGGTCTAGGTAGAACTAGGTGGTCCTAGGGGGAACTAAGGTGGAACTAAGTTTAATCTCAATTTCATTTTTACAAAATATAACCGAAATTACTATCCGAACAACCCCAATATTTAACCTTCATTGTTTTAAAACTTTGACACAATGTTGCATTCGTATACAGCAAGCTTTCTATTACTTTAATTTATATATAAAATAATTTATTAATTTAAAAAATAAGAAAAAGATAGAGGTTAATGTCCAGTGCCACCTGTTGGTCATAGATTTGGGTCAGTGTTCGAAATATTTGAACATAACCTAATTTTTATTTGTACGACAACCTCATATTTTGGTTCAAAATTTAAAATTATTGAAGTTTAAACTATCCATATTATTATAAAAAAATTATTAATTAATTATAATTAATAATAAATAAATTAATTTATAAATAATATGCTATTTCAAATTGTAACTTTTATTATTATTTACATTGTAATTTTGTTTATTATTTTATATATATATATATATATATATATTTATTATTATTATTTTTATTAAGTCATCCTGTGTGCAAATGTTTAAAAAAGATTCAGTTAATTTATAGAATAAATTGATAAGAGTTGTGTCAACATGGTGGGTTCAAAGATTATTAAATAACACGGTTTTATTCAATATTTGTTTTCAAAGTCTAAAAAATGATAAGAACAGTTGATAACTGCGAGTATTGTTATTAATAATCAAATATCAATTTATTCAGATGAGTTGTTGGAAGTGAAGGGAGGGTTTGACTAATATTTCTTTTTTCAAAATTTCAAATATCTGATTAAAGTATCTCACTCTGACTGATTTTGATATAGTTATTTCATAAATTAACTGATTTATTAATTTAAAGATTAGAGAATTGTTTCATTTGTCAAATTATCTATAAATGTCCAAAGAAAAAGATTCAGGGTAGAAAAGAAAAATAAAATTCTACTCAAAGAGAAGAAACTTTCTTGAACGATTTATAAATAAACCATGATAACGTGAAATTATCATTATTTGTGCAGTAATGCGTGTGGGCGTCTTGTACGTCATTCATTGACCATGATTATTCAAAATCATCTTTGTGTTTCTACATTTCTTTAAATAAAATCAACAATTTTTCTTAGATATAAAATTTATGTAAAATATAAAGGTTTTCCATAATTGAATTTGTTCTTTTTTACTTTGAACAATAAAAATTGTTTTATATAATTAAATTATAAAACTAAAGTATAAATAAAATAATATTAAATAAATTATAAATAAATATTAAATATTAATTAAAATAATTAATTAAATAAAATCAAAATAAAATGTTTGTAACATAAATAGTAAATAAATATGAAATATTAAATAATATAACAATAAAATAATATTAAATAAATTTTCAATAAATATTAAATATATTATTTATTATTACAAAAATTATAAATAATATTAATTGATAAATATTAAATAAATATAATTAAAACACATTGAAATATTAATAAGAAATAAAATTGTTTTACAACTCGTTGACACAAATATTAATAAAAATAATTAATTAAATAAAATAACAATAAAATAATATTAAATAAATATTAATAAGACATTAAAATATTAATAAAAAAAAAAAAAAGATAAAATTGTTTTACAATTCAGTGACATATACTAAAAAAAAAAAAAAAATAAAAAAAAAAATAAACTGTAAGATCATACGATTCGATCAAAAAGATTCGTCGGTTTATTTTAATCGGTGTCCCTCCGTTCTCCCTCGAATAATTTATTGGACCTTGTCAAAGTACATATATTATTGCTTTAGTGACGTTTTCTTTTTAAACTAGCAACCACCACCCACCGTTAAGTTTAAAAGGGAACGAGAACATCGAACAATTGATCGCAATTGATCTCTTCTTCGTCATGGTCACAATGCGAATAATCTTCGAATGGCAAATACCGATTGAAATGCATATGTGAAACTTTTCAAACGCGTACAATAGAAATATTTCGCCTTGAAAAATTTATTCCTAGATATTTACAAATCAATCATTAATCAAAAATCACTAAAGTTGAGCCATAAAACGACAAAAACAACCAAAACATTTTTCTATCACATACTTATTTGTTTTTAATAATTTTTTTCCTATTTTTTTTTTCTTTTTTTTTGTAACCTTGACCCAACCAAATCATATTCGATTGATATACATATACATATATGTATTTGTATATGTGTTATCTCAGTTTTATTGTAAATGGTTCTCACGTTCGTATCTAATTTCGTGATATCAATTTGAAAGCGATAAATAAACCTTCGAGATTTTCGAACGACTGGAATATTTATTTATTTATTTTTTTATTTTTTTTTATTTATTGTAATAAAAGTATGCTTTGAGATTACGCTTGCTTACGGATCGTATGTATATCGTGCGTGGGCGTCACGCTTAACGAACGATAAGAGATAGTATATTTAGAGCTTGCTTATACACTACTAACCAAACCAATAGGATCGTGATATCAGTAAAATGGAAAGTGGCACGACAAAAGTGATTATTACACTCCATGTTATAAATTTATTTCACCAATTTAGATATTTCATTGATAATATATAAAATTGTTTCTTTCTAACCTCTAATTTCCAAAAGTACCTTCACCTTAATTGTCTTAAAACTTTGACACAATGTTGCATTCGCATACATCAAGCTTTCTATTACGTTAATTTATTTATAAAATAATTAATTAATTAATTAAAAAACAAAAAGATACAGGTAAGTGTCCAGTGTCATCTGTTGGTCAATAGATTTCGATGAGTACTCGAAACATTTGAACATAACCTAACCTTTATCTGTACAACGTCATATTTTGACTAGTATAACTATATATATATAATTATTATAATTAAATAATATGATCAGAAATATCGTAAGGATTAATTCAGTAAAAAAATTGTCTCGATTTCTTCTTTTATTCCTACTTTAATAAAGCAACCTTTCGAACAACGTACGAAGTTTCTTAAGTTAGGGGTTTAATATCAACTTTAAATTCGATAATCAATGTAATCAGGATAAATAATAACATAGAATCTTTTTCTTGGTCTCTCGAGTTGGTTGGTTCTCGATTCAAGTCCCAGGTACCCATAAATACATTCTCTGACCACATAGTGACTAATAATTAGACTTTGAGGGGAACCCTTTTTTTTTATTTTGCAATAACGAACGGTGTGGAACGAGATTCCGTTTGTTGACCTATGCTCGTCGCTAACTTATCCAAATTCCTGGTGTACGGGTTGTAAGAAAAACACCAAAGTTCGTTAACATCTTCGGTTAATTAACTAACGCGTCACGAACAGTTGTTGAAGATACAGATACATGTATATATATATGTATATATGGATGCTGGAGAAGATCGAAGATGAGAAAGAGAAAAATTTGAAAGCGGGCCTCCTACGGACCCCGATGATAGCAATTAAATTAAAGCGAGATCTCGCCCCAGCGATAGACCTACAATTAATCAGCGTCGTGACAATTGGACGTTTCATTAACGGCTTATGTTCGAGAGAGAGAGAGAGAGAGAAACAGGATAAACCGCGTCAAGAAGCACCCAAGTGAAAATCTTGCGCGAATACCAGAGACCCACCTGAAGCTTAAGATCGTCAGAAAATTAATCGACCATTCCCCCATTAGTATTCCCAATCCCTTTTTCTTTTTTTTTTTTTAACATACTTATTCCTGAAATTATTTCTTTTTTTTTTTTAACTATGGTTACGTTAAATCTTAACAAACTTAAGGATTTAATTAAACTTAAGAACAAATCTTAATCTTTAAAAAAAAAAACGAGATATGTATGTAAGATATTTTTCTTTTTTTTCTATCATCGATAAAAATAAAATATCAAACGTATTTTCAAAAAATAAGAATGAAGGATTTTATTCGATATATTTACTTAAGTAGATATGTTAGAAAAAGAGAGATAGGTCTATCGATAATGATCGATGTTTTCGGATTCTCTACTGGCCAGATGTCTTTTTGGGGACTTTCGTTTGCAATATATCCAGTGAATTCGATAGACGGTTGTCTGGCTAATCTGCTAGTCAAAATAGGTCCTTGAATCTGTTGACTCCGTTTTTTTTTTTTTTAAAGAAATTTTTACCTCAATATCCACGATACATAAAAAAAATTAAAATAAAATTAAAAAAAAAAAAACACAATATATCTACAATTATTTTATTCAAGTAATTCAATTAAATCTTCAATATTTTTCTCAAAAAT